TATAAGTGCTTAAAACTGCTTAGGAGTATAAAGCATGAAGTTTGAACTTATATTGTCTAGCCACAGTTCCCTGCGTTATGTAGTTTTGGCATTTGGTATGGAAACTTCACTTGAGCTTGCTCTTAATGCTTTTAACAGGCATAAGGTTTTTTTGTCTGTTAGAATACTTTTTGCTATCAGAGGTTCCTGATGAATGATATACCCAAAGATACTAGTCAAAGTCATTCCCTTCTCCCTAGCTATATGTTAAGGGTGAATATCAAATGTTGCAGTAATGTTACAAATGTTATAGTAACAAAAAAAAAAAAAAAAAAAAAAAAAAAAAAAACAACAAAAAAAAACCAAACAAAAAACCCAACCCCAAAACCTTATCAGTGCTCCTTCTGCATGGTGATCTAAGGGGAAAAGCTGGATAGAAGCTGCTGGCATTCCCTCCCTTAGTGAGGAATAATTGACCTCAACTATTTAAAAACTGACTGTTCCCAGGTACCTGAGTCTCTGACAAATTTCAATGAGAGTTAAGTCTTGTTTTTGCTTGTCATGGTAGATATGTTTCCTAATGTACTCTGCATATTGACCATAAGTTAAGTCTCTTAGCAGCTTTTAACTATTTCTAGGATAAATCTGATGCTTGTAGGGAGTTTGTACTTGCACTATGTCCAGTCTTGCTTTTTGATAAACTTTCTCCTATAAAATTCAGTCCATGAAGACAGATGTTGTCTTCCCAAGTGATGTATCATTACACCTTTTACTAGCTAAGTGCAATTATAGAATTTGATACTGGAGTAGCTAGGAAGTAATAGGCTCTTCAGTGTGACTTTCTTAATAAAGTAAAGGAATAATTGGGGAGGGGCAGGCAAGACATAGTCCAGTGTAGACCATATATACTTGATTTCCAATTCTGTCCTCCTTATAGGAAACCTGAATAGTAAAAGGTAGTTTAGCCTCAGTGAGGCAGAAGCACCTGGTTATAGCAATTTTGCAAAAATGTTTCAATCTGTCCCCAATACATTATAAAGAGGTGCCAGATCCATGATTACTGAATTCCAGAATCCATATGGCATTTATTGAGATAAATGCACCAGTCCACATCCCCTATTATTTCAGCATGCTCGTTGAGTTTGCCAGGTAGCCATGCAAATGACACTTAATTAAAATTTTTTGCAAGTCCATTTTTAATAAAAGTGTAAACAGGAAAGGAAGAAGTGTGATGTCTGTAACCTGCTCTCTCTATGTATTTGCATGCTGAGGTTTGCAGCCCAAATTTGCAAATTCTTGACCTAAACAGACTCAGCTGTCATGGGAAGTAAGATATTAGAAATGACAGACTACAGCCTCTTCCCCTCCCACCTTCTTCCCTTTTTTACTAATAAAGAGAAACAGATCTCTGCTATTTTCTGTATTAAAATGATGATTGAAGAAACTTTATATAGTCCTGTTTCAGAAGATTGGTAAGGATTGTTAAGTGAATCAGGAAGATTTTACTTGCCTAATAAATAGTTAAGACGGATACATTTTGCTACCACTGATTTTTTTTTTTTTTTTTTAAAGTAGTAAAGGGAAAACATTTTACCATTTGTCAAACAGAACTGTAGCTCTCCACAAGTGACATACTAGGAGATGTCTGGATGCTAAGTTGCTTTTTTCTTATTTTTCTTGTGAAGTGTCTGTTACCTTGTAATAACCCTACTAAGGAAAATTTAGAAGAAAACAAATTAGATGTTCTTCTAGTAATTTGCAGTATATATCTAGATACTAGAATAAGGATAAATGGGGTAGAATAAATTGTTCATTTAGGGAAAAAAATATAAGCAGATTGGTACTGTTCGGATGAATATATGAGCCCAATTGTGACTGAAAGAACACGTGTTAGATTCAGAATGTCCAGTTCAAATGTCAAGTGCCACAATGCATTAAAATTAATTCTTGTTTTGCAAGGTTCCTTTCCCCAACCTGGCAACTAGGTGAATAAGGATCTAATATCTAATGTTCTTGTTCTTCAGTGACAATGACAAGTGACTTTTTTTTTTTTTTTCCTTGCATGTAAGAGAATATTTTTTAGGTCATGAAGACAGACTAATATTTTGATCATACGGCAGTAGAATTTTCAGGTACTGTTTAACTAGAAAGCTAACTTAAAGTTGTATGGCTAATTTTAGTTCTGCTGTTTCTGAAAAATGGAAGATTTAAAGCTAAATTCTATTTCTTGTGAACAGTTTGCATGAATGACCAGTTGCAGAGTGCTGGTGAAGGCCCCACACCATTGCCATGCAGAATACAGCAAAGAGCACTAGCATGGGAATCGTTTGCTTGAGAAGCTTATTTAGTGTGATGGGCAGAGTTACAGAAAAATAAATAAAATGCAAGAGAAAAGGCAGAAAACTGCCCGCCTCTGAAGGCCCTGGAGAAAGGGTAGGTTTCCCCTTCACTAAAACTGAGTGGCTTTGCTACTGCTGGGGACAGCACTGAGTCTGTGAATGTTGTGATTTAAAAAAAAAAAATCAAAAGACCTTTATTTTGATGTTGGCTGCTCTGCTAAAGCATTCAGCCTCTGTGTTCCCTAATGACTGCTTGGATCAATGGTTTAACAGGCAAGAATATTAAGGTAGAGAATGAGAAATGTAGCTGTGTGTGCAGGGTAGGAAACTGTGCTTGTATAAATAGGGGTTGCTCTCACAGAGGTGGGAGCAAAAGAACAATATCCTATCTACCCTGATATAAAATAGACTTGAATAATCACAGGTATGGTCAGAAAAAGTAGCTTTTTATCAGCTAATAATTAATAGAAATCCTTCTCACAAGCTGTTTGGTCTCAGTATTGTATCTGTCTCTTGAGGGATTAAATATTATTTTGACCAAACACATCATCCTCTATTAATCATTTATGTGCCTGTACTGAATTTGATTGAGATGATAGGCAACCTGGAAACAATTATGTGTTTGTTCTCCCTTACCTATATACTTTTTTAAACGTCTCAGGAAAAAAAGATGTCTGTAGCAATGTACTAGACCAGAGATAAACACATAGTTAAAATGCATTCTCTTTTATCATTTTTCAAATGTAGTCTCAAAAGATGTTAAGCTGGCTAACATAGCTACTACTTCAGTATTGAAGTCATTCATGTACCAACACCACTTTAATTCCTGTGTGCCAATACCTTAGAGTTACTGATAATACTTTCCATATTTAATTATATCCTAATAGTTTTTCATTGTGTCAGTGCTTTCACAACCAGAGATCTTTGTCCCTAAGTCTTTAGTTAGAGCGGTTGGCATTTCACTTATGGTTAGAGTTGTGAATCATCTCGGGTACCACAGAGGGTGGCAGCAGAGTCTCTCTGCAGAGATGGGCTTGGACTTGGATCCAAAGGGAGCAGCCAAGCTCGTGGGCTGTTTCTAGAGGCAGAGAGATGCAGGGAGTAAATACCCACTGCTGTGCTACCCACTCAGAAGTTTCCAACTGAAAAATCCCACTGAGAGTCTATTTTGTCCTTGCAATTCTGGTTTTACCAGCTCTAATTTAATGTAGGATCAGGTAATAATATAAACTGTATCCCCCAACTGTCTGTATCCACAGACCTGTTTTATTAATAATATTTGGTATTCAGCTCTTAAATTCCTTTTCTATTACATGATGAATTCCTGTAGTATTATGTGATCAATTTACTGTAACCCTTAACTAGGACATTTTACC